TATGTAAAAAAAAGTTGAGCCCTCTATATATATGTATATATATATATGTATATATATATATATATATAAATAAATATATATATATATATATATATATATATATATTAGAACATGCTTACATGGACCCCTCATCGCACGTTGTTGTTGAATCTCGGGTCTGGGTGTCGGTCGGTTGGCGTCAGCTTTTTGCTGAAGAAAAAACACCTTAACAGCTAGAACACGTAAACAGCTGGGCTTCATATACTAAACCCTAAACCCTCCAGGTTACTTGGTGTCTGGGGATCGAGGGATTGGTTTTGTCTTGCATTGTCGCATCCCGTGGCTTACGGGGCTTCAAGGGTTGAGGGTTTAGGGTTAAGAGTTTAGGATCATGAGGTCCTCAGGCCGTCCGTTTCCCCAGTAGAATGCAAATTTTCATACACCTAAACGCATCCCAAAACCCTACAAAATAACGAGGACTCGATGCCCCTCGGTGGTGCTAAAGAGGCTTAGGCTTCGGCATTAGCTGCGAAACCACGAACGCAGGCCACCTGCGCTCAGCTTCGGAATGTGGGAAGACCTGGGATACAGCGAGAGATCAGGGTAAAGGGATCCCTTAAATAGGATTCAAGGTTCTACGAGTGGTTCCTTGAGGGGTTCTATGCGCTTTCCTGCAAAGGTTAATCTTAGGGTCAGGGCGTATCCCGTGGGTTATCTAGGGTTCAGGGTTTCGGTATTCAGCAATTCCTCGTTGGACGACTTATTTTGTGATTCGCAAAACGTATGCTGGCTTAGGGAGCACGGACACCGAAAGATCTCCGCCCTCCCGCGAAGCCGTGGGTTGGGGGCGGGCGGGGGTAGGTATAGGGTGACAAGGTTTTTAAGGGGTCTCTCATACAGCGATGTTCTACTTCGCTTTCTACCTCTCTCTCTCTCTCTCTGAGTGCTGTCCAAAGCCGAGTGACAACAGATTTCGATGTGTGTATCACATGGAAAGTGTAGTGCGCACGTTTTCGGGCAATGGATGGCTACCTTAACCCTGAACCCGAAACGCCCGAAGCCTTGAGCCCGCGGGCTAGAACTCTGCCTAAATCCCGCTCCCTAAACCCTAAGGCCCTAAACCCCAACCAAAACCCTTTAACCCTGACCCTTACGACCCTACACCTCAACCTCTTGTAACAAACCCCCCAAAATTCACCGCGCGGCGGGGCCGGAGCAGGAGCGTTGTCGCAGCTTCTTCCAAAAACACTGCAGCACGCAAAGAGGCGTTGGGCGATCAGCTCATTGCCTGTTTTTTTTGGGTTGGGTCTCAGCGGCTTGGGTTTAGGGCTTTAGGGCTTAAGGGCTTAAGGGCTTAAGGGTTTAGGGTTTAGGGTTTAGGGCTTTAGGGGTTTAGGGCTTTTTGTTTACTCACAACTGACATAGTCTATGTAACCTAGGTTAGCTAGTGTTACAATGTTACAATTTAGTGGACCTATACCTAGTTACTTGGGATCTCGGAGTACAGCGATAACCAAGCGGTGACTACTCCTAGCCCTAACCTACCAATGATTTGGCTAGAGAATTCTGGGCACTTGCCGAACTTGCGATGCTAATTCATGTCTCATGGGATTAATATAAGGGCCAAAATACTTACCTATACCATGTTGGGGGGGCTTCTTGTTATAATTAACGTATGATATACCACAAAACCCTATTAAACCCTAAAGCCCTATACCCTATGCCCTAAACCCTAAACCCTAAAGTCTGAGCTCAAGTCCCGTCACCCACATCATGCCCCCCCCTAAACCCTAAACCCAAATACCCTCAACGCTAAACGGTTTAGGGTTTAGGATTTAGGCTTTAGGGTTTAGGGTTTAGGGTTTGGGGTTTTCAATGCTAAACCCCAAAACTGGCGGGGGCACCATACTCCCTCAACGCCTTCTCTGGCCCGACCCCAACACCCCACAAGCCTAAGCCCTATAGGCTCGAGGGTGTCGTGGCTTTAAAGAAGACATCGCATTGCAGAGCTTAGGGTTTAGGGTTTGGGGATGATCGAGTTCAGGGTTTCGAGTTTAGAGGTGTACCAACCGCGCTTGGATCTCTGCCGCTGCTCCTCTTGCTGCTTCCAGCTGTGGCTCACTGGGTGTTGCCAAGGCTGCAAGATCCGATAGGGTTTAGGGTTTCGAATACGGGAAATCATTCGTTGCACCACGCTGGGCAAGCACATGAAGTGTTGTCTTGTGACGCGAAGCAGCCACCTTGTCCGATGTGACTTCTCGACAAATTGAGAACCCTCTCGCCCAGCTGGCAGCTCCTTACATGCCGTGTATCTTTCCTCACCACCTGCCAGGAATTACTGACGTACTACGTCCTGCGAGCATTGAACAAGTGAGGCAGTACGGCGAATAATCCCTTTCATCGGAATCGGAAGAATAATCTGCGAGCAGCCCATACTTTCATATGCATGCACCGTACTCACCATCGCCCATTTCGGCAACAAAGGTCCTTGGCTAATGTAGGGGCCGCCAAAATTAGACTAGGGTTTTGGGGTAAACTATACTACGATTACTATTAAGGCCGCCATATTATTTGTGCTGCCAATCTGCTATGCTTCGCGGCTCGAGCTGACCTTCTGGGCGCCAACGGTTTAGGGTTTAGGGTTAAGGGCGACTGCGCTGATGCATTGAGATCTGTGAGTGTCAAGGTTGTAAGTTGGTCCCTAAACTCGGGTTGCTGGACCACACCTATAGTCTCCATTGTAGTTCCTTTCTTAGATAAACCAACTCTATATCTAGGATCCGAAAAGGTAACCGCAAAAAGGAACTGCAATGGAGACCATAGGTAACCCTACTTTTTCCTTCTTTACTTACTACGTCCGCTGAGCTTTCTGCAGTGTTCCGACGATGCTACGGTCCGGCCTCGTGCCCGGAGCTACTAGCTGCAGCGAGTTAGCCCTAAACCCTAAAATCTAGGGCTTTAGGTGCCTTAGTGCTTTAGGGTGCAGGGGCTTTAGAAGCTATTAGGGTTGTAGGGGTTTAGGGAGTTGATAGTTTTTGAGGATCCACATGTCCATGTCGCAACTTGGCATATCTTAGAGTCCGGGTGGGCACTTAACCTGTTGGAGTTTTTAACCTTTCCATACAGGTTAAGCTTTTCTGTGCTATTCGTAGCATTTAGGAAGGGCTCAGCCCCCAAAACATCTAAAACCTCCCTGCTTCTTAGTAGGGGGATCAGGGTTATAGCCCCTTACTTTAGGTCCTCTAGAGAAGTACGAATAATCCATTCCCCCATTTCCCACTAAGAACCAGCCAGAAACCCCAAAACCCTGAAGCCTAAACCCCTAA